TGTTTCCTTAAGGCGTCTGCTGCCCCTGTTCACCTATCAATATAACAGGTACCTGAGTGTTAGTCGACTGGTGTGGGTCGCATCCTGGGGATAAACTTGCCCTAGTACAGCATAACAAGGGGCTTTCTATATAGTAGTATATCACTGATGTTAGTTAGGCCTGTATACCTTGTACATGTATTTGTCGAAATAAATATTGTTATTAACAAATCTGAGTGTATATACACAGAGCTACACACCACGGGGAGTATATACCATTATCCGATCTGCACACTTTTGGGTGTCTGTGTGCCCAGTGCTTGGCATGGGTGGACACAGCATAGCAACAAGCACAGGGTGGGTGCATGCAGGTGGTGGGTGACGGGGGTGGGTGACGGGGGTGGGTGACAGGGGTGGGTGACGATGGTGGGTCAGCCTTACACAGCCAGTAAGAACACGTGCATATATACACTTCCACCAATGAAGCTTCAGATATTGTGGGCGGAGCTGCTTTACAGTTCACTCCTTGGGGGAGGATAGGGAGGGGTGGGGTCTTTACTGCCAAATGGCATTGGGGGAACAATGTATACTACCAATATTAGCTATTTCTCTCTCCCTCGATCATCCTGAATCCATCAGATGGATTTAATACATCGTTTCTGTGAGTACCATTTACCAGGATAGTTAGCGTGGTAGTGGAACAAGGTCAGTTACCAGCCATGGTAACTACAGTTGGGGGATGGTGCAGTGATGAAAATGAAACGAAGTTCACACCAGATCAAGGCACCTAGGTGCACTGAGTGCTCACAGTAGGTGCTGAGTATACTGGTACAGCTGGTGGGAGACACAGGCATCATGAGGCCACAGACAAACATGACAACGTGTAATTGTGTGTTCTGTTGCAAGACGTCCTCAGTGGGGGACAAGCTAGACAATTGGTCCATAAACACACACACGTCAGACTACAGACCCTTCAAGCAAATTAAAACATTTGGTAAGTCATGTTTGTTACTGTCATGCAGGGCCGGATTAAGGCATAGGCAGTAACCCAGGATCCTCAGCCAGCCGGTTATACTATACCATCTTTTCCCACCATATATACACTGAGAGGTGCATTTCTCTCAGCGTATATACAACTGAGAGTAATTTAAACTCTATTTTAGGTAGTAAAATATTCTTGTCTGATGGTGGAAAGATTACGTAACAACATTACGCTAGTGTAGTCGATAGGCTTTCAACTCAATTAACCAACCAGCCTCTCCATTCATTGTCAGGCTAAGTAAGTTTATTCAGGCATACACAAATAGTTACATATATGCTATGTATGATAATCTTTGTAGAGCACCTAGGATAACCCAAAAAAGTCAGGCTGGATCCACTGGCATATCCTTCTCAAAAAGAGGGGTGTCTTGATGCCTGTTAAAGGCTTTTAATCCAAGGAATCAGAGGTATCCCTTTCCTCTCTTCGAACCTGATTCTTTATCCATACCCTAGGCCCTGCAAGATTCACTTGCAGTCTTGCAAGATTCACTTGCAGGGAGTCTTGCAAAGTTACAACTCTTACTATTGTCTAATGGTAGGAATTAATTTTTTATCATGGTTTAAACCTTTTGTGATTTAAGTCTCCCGTTCACTGTGCATTTACTTGTTTCTCAGTAGCGCTTTGTGTATCCCTGCTAGTTGTTCGCGTGTATTCCTGTTACTTGCAGGTTGTTTGCGTGTATCCCTGCTAATTACGCTACAGCATCAATACAACAGTTAGTCTTAAGATAGTTTTACTTATGTTCCTACATAGTTACTTTCAACTATTTACTGCAGCTTCTCCCATCTTCAAGATCTCGTGTTTAGAATGTAAATACAAGTATTTGTTCTCAAATTCTACTTTCTAAAATCTATTACCACAAGACACGAGTTATAATATTTATCTCGCTACCTCCACACGACGCATCTATTGTTTAAAACTATTAATTTCCTCTCATATTAATATATTACAAAGGATCCCAGTGTAAATAAGTTACACCGTCTCACTTTTTGGGTTATCTTAGTCACCTAGTGGGTACTTTACACACATGTTATTGTAAATACGAACAAGTGGTATTTAATTAATAACACTGCGACTAGCCGAGGATTCGAACCCGTGTTTTAGCCTGCCTTATGGTGAGCGAGAGAGGCGGGCTAAAACATGGGTTCGAATCCTCGGCTAGTCGCAGTGTTGTTGATTAAATACCACTTGTTCGTCGTTACAATAACATGTGTGTAAATTGTCCAGTACGATAATCATGGTGTAAATGACCCAGTGACTTGCTTCCATTTGTGTTCCTCCTACTGTATCGTCTACCTGGAAGGTGTTGGGGGGGAGGTCAACGCCCCCTCGACCCAGTCCTTGACCAAGCCAGATAATTTGGTACAGGAACTGTTCAAATATTAACCTATTGCTAGTATTTTTACTAGCAAAATACTTTTTTTAAACACAAGGACACCAATGGAAATAAATCACTTTGACATTTTTGGGTTATCATGGAGGATAATTCACACATGTTAAACTATGCGTGATAACTGCACTCATGTACCTAAATAAACTTACTTAGGGGCAAAGTTTCTCCAGTGGTGCCACTGAGACTGCCTCAGCAGCCAGCTGATTCAAGAGTGTCCATCTATACTTTCTGGTGCTTCTATGTAGATATTTGTTTATCTCCAAGCTTCTCATGGTTTTATTGGTCTGTCTCAACAATAACGCTAATACCTCAATTGGTCATGAGAAAACATTGTAACTTACACGTGTGGCAATAAATAAATTTATATTAAGAGTGAGCGGCAACTATTTTCTGGGTATTTTTGGGCAGCCGGTGAACGGGGCACTGCTTTCACCCCCACGATGCTCGCCACAAACTTAGTCTATATTGGCAGTTTTGAGGCAGGTGAAGCAAACGTCATTAAATCTGCAGGGATTGGTAACATCTCCATATTACGAACGTTCAACTCAGCCTGAAGTACCCAGGTTCTAGGTTAGGGCTGGGTTGTCTACACTGTGTCCTAATTTAGCATGTTCGTTGAAAACATCGCAGCATTAGTTTCCATGTGATAACTTATGAATGCCTTTTCCGACTCCGTATCTTAAACACTAATATTTAACCGCACTATAAACTTATGCCGCACTTGGCACTATCCCTTTCGCATGCGTTGACGTAGAGGGGCAGGGGCACTGGGATCGCACAGCGACACATTAATGCACTTAAAAATATTTGTTAAAATGTAAACAGTTTTTGATGGCTCGGTAATGAATTAGTAATGACGTTATCAGGACCTGTCATCCCTCTATCACTAGTGTACTCTCCTGTGGCTTTACCCGGTCGAATTATGAGACGGGAACTGTACTTAACGACCTGTTTAGAAACTATTTTTCGAATGCACTTGTCGATAAACACATGGCCTGTTTTGTGTGTATTCGCCTATGGAGGAGCTGGGATAGACCTAGCTCCTGTTCCCGCTTCGCAACTTGCCATTTTTTTTCTCTCCTATCCATGTTGGTTCCACCTCTTCCTCTAGGTTTTTACTTCCTGACCACTCTGAGACTATAAAAATGCTTCCTGACACCATATGATTCGCCTATTTACTTCTCGCCTCTCAAACAGCCTGTCCTGGTCTACACTACTAATTCCTGAATATTTTGTACATCTCTGGTCCTTCTTTCCTCCATTGCCGTCAAATTTAATTCCATTAGCTTATCTTCGTAGCTCGTACCCTAGTTACACTCTGCACTTTCTCATTTCTTGACAAGCTTTCTCGGGCGTGGGTTCCATGCTGGTGATCTATACTTAGGCCTGAGATTCCTGTACGCTACTTCGATTTACCAGACCAGCATTGGCTGTATTGTTGATTAGGTTGATGCAAGCCTCAGGCGATATGCTAGGCACTTAACTTTCTTTGTGTGATGTCTACAGCCTTTCTCCTGGCTCCAGAGTCAATACTCAGCGTCCAGTTTTCTGGCCCCTTCACCAATCTTTAAAACCTTGCATCTGCTGGGGTTCAATTTAAGCAACCGCCTATCTAATCAATCTTGAAGGTTGTCTAGATTCGTTTGTTGACTCCATATCCTTTCCTGTTTGTACTGTCATTAGGCATGTCGTGTGTATGGAGAGGGAGGGCAGAGGGCAGAAGATAGCTTGGACAGTGTGAGAGGCAGGAAGTCCCAGACAGCGTGTGTAGTAAGATGCAGGAAGCACCAGACAGCGTGTGTAGTAAGATGCAGGAAGCACCAGACAGCGTGTGTAGTAAGATGCAGGAAGCCCCAGACAGCGTGTGTAGTAAGATGCAGGAAGCCCCAGACAGCGTGTGTAGTGAGATGCAGGAAGCCCTAGACAGCGTGTGTAGTGAGATGTAGGAAGCCCCCAGACAGCGTGTGTAGTGAGATGTAGGAAGCCCCAGACAGCGTGTGTAGTGAGATGCAGGAAGCCCCAGACAGCGTGTGTAGTGAGATGCAGGAAGCCCAGACAGCGTGTGTAGTGAGATGCAGGAAGCCCCAGACAGCGTGTGTAGTGAGATGCAGGAAGCCCCAGACAGCGTGTGTAGTGAGATGCAGGAAGCCCCAGACAGCGTGTGTAGTGAGATGCAGGAAGCCCCAGACAGCGTGTGTAGTGTAGTTTGAGAGGCAGAAAGCACCAGACAGCGTGTGTAGTGTAGTGAGAGGCAGGAAGCACCAGACAGCGTGTGTAGTGTAGTTTGAGAGGCAGGAAGCACCAGACAGCGTGTGTAGTGTAGTTTGAGGGGCAGGAAGCACCAGACAGCGTGTGTAGTGTAGTGAGAGGCAGGAAGCACAAGACTGTAGCTACACGACCTTGCTGTGTGGTTTTGGCAAGTACCACATTTCTTCGTCCATTTCCCTTCCTTCGTCTCTTCTCCTCCCCTCCTGTGTGTTCTCAAAGTAACGCTCGTGTTGCTCTCTGCACTACAGCGTCAGTGTGTCGCCACTCTGACCTGCAACACACCACACAACAGCTATTTAATTATTGCTTCCTCAATTCCATGTGTTGCAGTGTCATATTGCTATCGTAAACGGTTGCTTCATGAAGGGTGTGATCACTGGTTAATGGTTCAGTGTGACGTGTGAGTGAGACAAGGTGTTGCATACTGATGCAATGTGTACAGAGTGATATACGTACACGTGTACGACCCCGTCGCCAGGCACAGGGTACGTACACACGCGCACACTCACGTGGCTGTGTAGGCGCCAGAAAACCTCCATCCATTCAGTCATGTACACACACTGGTCTGAGATACACGTCTGTGTTAACTGCAGGAACTGTGGCAGCCAAGGTGGTGCTCCTGTCACCACTCACATCACCTCGTGTTGGTGCTTGATGTGTTGAGTTTTAGCTCCTGGGCCCCACCACCTGTTTTCCACCTCGCCTTGTGAACATCTGTTACTGTTTAACAAACTGTTTACTTGTATATAAAGCTTGTACACCTCTAAAAGTGAGATTCCTTAATTGGTGTACGAGTACTTGGCCAAGCAAGGCGTGTCTACTTGATCGAGTAAGCTGTTGCTGCTTGCTGAAGCAGCTGTGTGTGGGAAATTCAAGAGAATATTCTTGATCAATGGTGTGTAGAGCCTCACATAATTAACACCTCCATACACTGAGGGTGTTGAGGTACACCTGGCCGTCATCTGTGGCAGCATCCAACATGAAACTCTACGAGATGAAGTCTGCAGGTATGTAGTGTATTGGAGTGTTAGCAACCAGGAGGACCTGGGTTCAATCCCCGGGCAAGGTGAGTTGTATCTCCTAACACTTCCTGCACCTGTTCACCTAGTAAATAGGTACTTGGAAAGTACCTGATTTGTGTAATTATGTACCTAAATAAACTTATCATGGGACCTATACTTGAGACTGCAGAATTACAAATATAGCCTAATATACAAGAAAAATACTAGTGTGTTGTCGCCAGTTAGTTTTATTCAATAAACTGATACCAAAACTTTAAATTCTTGAATACAACAGCACTGAACTAAAATACAACAGCACTGAACTAAAATACAACAGCACTGAACTAAAATACAACACAACCAGAACTCTCCCCCCCCCAAAAAAAAAATCCAGAAATGTGGGTATTCCCTCAAATTCACTATTATCCCCCAAAACATCCCTGCTCCCTTGAACTACCTAACTATCCATCCACCTGTGGTATCCTGCATGGGATAAACAGCTAATCTCCTAAAACCTGTTGTTACTAAGAAAAACAAATCCTCCTAAATACTCATTCAGGCTCCAGACGATACGCCTTATTAGTTAAAATTGATTTCACACTTTCTACTGTACTCGCCTAGATGTGGTTACATGGGTCGAGTCACGGCTCTTGTGCACGATATGTCTAGAGGACTCGACTCCAGTCATTAACCCAAAACTGAAATTATATCTGGCAGCTGCAATACACTGAAGTCTCTGGACATTATCGTGTACACTTCAACCTGTTCCAAAAAATAGGCGATTGAAAGTCCCAAAAATTTGGAACAACCTGAAATATACGAAAAAAATCTCCATTTAAAAAGGCTTTAAATTACGTTTTATATTAAAATTGATTGAAATTTCTACTTGGTTAATATCGCCAAAAAAATTTGTCTTGTATAATTTCAATATTTGTACTCGACTCACATCTTGCCCGAAATAAATTAAAAGTACAGATATGAACTATTAAAAATATTCATACAAACGGACATATATATATCAAATTTTACCAAAAAGTCTGACTTATTGTCATAGGTCCCTATAACCTGAAACTTACGATACAAAATTTTATTGCAGTATTACTCAGTTAGAAAATTGCAGGCTGCGACTATACGCCATTTATATATTAAATTATATTACCATTAATAATTGTACGTGAAATTCTTGCATAATTGTGGTTTCTTCTGTATCAGCGCTGTAAACCTTGGTTTACGATCATTCAATATTTTGATTATAATATTCTTGCTGTAGAATTTGTGTATCCATCGAACTCCTTGTGCCTAATTAAGCATTAAGCAATTGTTTATAAGTACCTAAATTATCATACTGCATATTGTTATAGTACATTTATCGAACCACTCTGCATATTAGTCGGTACTTTTCTGTACAAGCGTTGTTAAGTACCTCTGTCCCAGACAGCAGTATTGTTACGTACCTACTATTGCCATACCTGCAGTATTGTTACTGTACACTTATTGCCACGTACCGCAGTTTGTTACGTACCTATCTTATTGCCAAGTACCAGCAGTATTGTTACTAGTACCTACTTATTGCCAGTACCTGCAGTATTGTTACTAGGTACCTACTTATTGCCACGTACCTGCAGTATTGTTACTAGGTACCTACTTATTTGCCACGTACCAGCAGTATTGTTACTAGGTAACTACTTATTGCCCACTTACCAGCAGTATTGTTATAGGTACCTACTTATTGCCACGTACCTGCAGTATTGTTACTAGGTACCTACTTATTGCACGTACCTGCAGTATTGTTACTAGGTACCTACTTATTGCCACGTTACCAGCGTATTGTTACTAGGTACTACTTATTGCACGTACCAGCAGTATTGTTACTAGGGTACCTACTTATTGCCACGTACCTGCAGTATTGTTACTAGGTACCTACTTATTGCCACGTACCGCAGTATTGTTACTAGGTACCTACTTATTGCCACGTACCAGCAGTATTGTTACTAGGTACCTACTTATTGCCACGTACCATGCAGTATTGTTACTAGGTACCTACTTATTGCCACGTACCTGCAGTATTGTTACTAGGTACCTACTTATTGCCACGTACCAGCAGTATTGTTACTAGGTACCTACTTATTGCCAAGTACCAGCAGTATTGTTACTAGGTACCTACTTATTGCCACGTACCTGCAGTATTGTTACTAGGTACCTACTTATTGCCACGTACCTGCAGTATTGTTACTAGGTACCTACTTATTGCCACGTACCAGCAGTATTGTTACTAGGTACCTACTTATTGCCACGTACCAGCAGTATTGTTACTAGGTACCTACTTATTGCCACGTACCTGCAGTATTGTTACTAGGTACCTTACTTATTGCCACGTACCTGCAGTATTGTTACTAGGTACCTACTTATTGCCACGTACCTGCAGTATTGTTACTAGGTACCTACTTATTGCCACGTACCTGCAGTATTGTTACTAGGTACCTACTTATTGCCACGTACCTGCAGTATTGTTACTAGGTACCTACTTATTGCCACGTACCTGCAGTATTGTTACTAGGTACCTACTTATTGCCAGTACCATGCAGTATTGTTACTAGGTACCTACTTATTGCCACGTACCTGCAGTATTGTTACTAGGTACCTACTTATTGCCACGTACCTGCAGTATTTACTAGGTACCTACTTATTGCCACGTACCAGCAGTATTGTTACTAGGTACCTACTTATTGCCAAGTACCAGCAGTATTGTTACTAGGTACCTACTTATTGCCACGTACCAGCAGTATTGTTACTAGGTACGTACTTATTGCCACGTACCTGCAGTATTGTTACTAGGTACCTACTTATTGCCAAGTACCAGCAGTATTGTTACTAGGTACCTACTTATTGTCACGTACGCAGTATTGTTACTAGGTACTATTTATTGACCACGTACCGCAGTATTGTTACTAGGTACCTACTTATTGCCAAGTACCAGCAGTATTGTTACTAGGTACCTACTTATTGTCACGTACCTGCAGTATTGTTACTAGGTACCTATTTATTGCCACGTACCTGCAGTATTGTTACTAGGTACCTACTTATTGCCACGTACCTGCAGTATTTACTAGGTACCTACTTATCCCAGTACCTGCAGTATTGTTACTAGGTACCTACTTATTGCCAGTACCGCAGTATTGTTACTAGGTACCTATTATTGCCAGTACCTGCAGTATTGTACTAGGTACCTACTTATTGCCACGTACCTGCAGTATTTACTAGGTACCTACTTATTGCCACGTACCTGCAGTATTGTTACTAGGTACCTACTTATTGCCAAGTACCAGCAGTATTGTTACTAGGTACCGTACTTATTGACCACGTACCAGCAGTATTGTTACTAGGTACGTACTTATTGCCACGTACCTGCAGTATTGTTACTAGGTACCTACTTATTGCCACGTACCTGCAGCAGTATGTTACTAGGTACCTACTTATTGCCAAGTACCAGCAGTATTGTTACTAGGTACTACTTATTGCCACGTACCTGCAGTATTGTTACTAGGTACGTACTTATTGCCACGTACCAGCAGTGTTACTAGGTACCTACTTATTGCCACGTACCTGCAGTATTGTTACTAGGTACCTACTTATTGCCAAGTACCAGCAGTGTTGTTACTAGGTACCTACTTATTGCCACGTACCTCCAGTATTGCTACTAGGTACCTACTTATTGCCACGTACCAGCAGTATTGCTACTAGGTACCTACTTATTGCCAAGTACCAGCAGTATTGTTACTAGGTACCTACTTAATGCCACACGTACCTGCAGTATTGCTACTAGCCTGGAGTTTACATGGAGAGAGTTTATTGCCACGTACCTGCAGTATTGCTACTAGGTACCTACTTATTGCCAAGTACCAGCAGTATTGTTATTAGGTACCTACTTATTGCCAAGTACCGCAGTATTGTACTAGGTTACCTATAGTTATTGCCACGTACCTGCAGTATTGCTACTAGGTACCTACTTATTGCCAAGTACCAGCAGTATTGTTATTAGGTACCTACTTATTGCCAAGTACCAGCAGTATTGTTACTAGGTATCTACTTATTGCCACGTACCTGCAGTATTGTTACTAGGTACCTACTTATTGCCACGTACCTGCAGTATTGTTACTAGGTACCTACTTATTGCAGTACCTGCAGTATTGTTACTAGGTACTACTTATTACCACGTACCTGCAGTATTGTTACTAGGTACCTACTTATTGCCACGTACCAGCAGTATTGTTACTAGGTACCTACTTATTGCCACGTACCTGCAGTATTGTTACTAGGTACCTACTTATTGCCACGTACCTGCAGTATTGTTACTAGGTACCTACTTATTGCCACGTACCAGCAGTATTGTTACTAGGTACCTACTTATTGCCACGTACCTGCAGTATTGTTACTAGGTACCTGCTTATTGCCACGTACCTGCAGTATTGTTACTAGGTACCTACTTATTGCCACGTACCTGCAGTATTGTTACTAGGTACCTACTTATTGTCACGTACCTGCAGTATTGTTACTAGGTACCTACTTATTGCCACGTACCTGCAGTATTGTTACTAGGTACCTACTTATTGCCAAGTACCAGCAGTATTGTTACTAGGTACCTACTTATTGTCACGTACCTGCAGTATTGTTACTAGGTACCTACTTATTGCCACGTACCTGCAGTATTGTTACTAGGTACCTACTTATTGCCAAGTACCGCAGTTATAGGTACTACTTAATGCCACGTACGCAGTTTGTTACTAGTACTACTTATTGCCAAGTACCAGCAGTATTGTTACTAGGTACCTACTTATTGCCACGTACTGCAGAGTAAGTATACATGCCAGTCCAGTATTGTTACTAGTACCAATTGCCACGTAGATATGTAGTACCTACTTATTGCCGTACCTGCAGTATTGTTACTAGGTACCTGCTTATTGCCACGTACCTGCAGTATTGTTACTAGGTACCTGCTTATTGCCACG